CCGGCCCACGGCGGGCCCCCCTGGCGCGGCTGGGTTGGCACCCACCCCACGGAGGGTCCTCCTGGCACGGCTGGGTGAGCACCCACCCCACGCAGGGTCCCCCCAGCCCCTCTCCACACCGCCAGCCCTTGGGTCTGCAGCAGGCTGGGAAACCCGCTGAGCATTCCTTGTGGGAAATCACCGATCTGGGATTAAAAGATTTTTGTGGGTGGGGGCGGAAAAAATAGAAAGAAAGTGGGTTTCAGTTTCTAAACCCAAAGGATGTGGGTTTCTGTGCTGGGAAGCACGGAGGGGGTGTGCTGGCACTGCAGCAGCACTGAGAAATTGGGGATTTCCACCGAAAACACTTGGTGGGAGCGAATTCTCCCCTATTGCATCCTCCGTGCCTGCTGCACATAGCCGGCATTTCAGCTTTTCAGAAGAGCTTCAAATGACCCGCAGCAACCCGGGAAGGTGGTTTTGTCCTTGCGAACCCCGCAAGAAGCCCTTTTGCCCGCTGCGGGCAGCCGCAGAGCGAGCCGGAGCCCGTTTCCCCGAGCCGCCTGTGATCCCCCAAGCACAGTGCAGGGAACAGCATCCTCGGAGCTGGGAGCGGGATGCGGGAGCGGGGCACATCCTTGGCACAGGTGCCCCAGCCATGGGCTGAGGAGACACAAACCATCTAGTCATACATCATCACTACATTGGGTTTTGCTCTTTTTTGTGTAAGAAAGAGCTATAAGAGCCCAAGGTGGGGCAGAGAGACACGTGGAGGCAGGGCCCCACTCACATCCTCACCCCCATCGCCACCAGGATGACTTTTCAAAGCCATTAATGATGTCCAGCTGCTCTCTTGCCACTGCTGGGTGCTCTGGGACCAAGCGGCGCTTGCAGAGCCCCAGGAGACCCCGGAAAATTGGGAATCTGCAGCAGGGGGGTCTCCTCCTCCCCACCCCGCTGCCTTGCCCATCCCTGCCTGCACTGCGAGCCGAGACCCTGCCCCAAACCTTCCCGTCATTGCTCGTCCCCAGTCCCTGTGTCCCTTCTCCGCTTTATCTCCTCGCTGGCACATTAGGAAACGGCACCGTCCAATTTCTGCACCCCATAAACCCCGGGAGCGCCGAGGGTCCACCAGTGATTAACGAGCGCCCTGCAATTCCCGACTCATCAGCCTCATTAATTTTGCACTCCCTCTTCAAAGCCTCCTCCCCACTGCCACCTTGGCCTGAACCCTCCGTCCGTCTGTCCCACACGTGCCCGGGTGCTCGGTGCTGCAGCCGGGAGCCCCCAGGGAGGCACCCCCAGCACCCAGGTGGGTGCTTTGCCGCTGGGGTGGGGGCACCCAGAGGCTCTGGGTCCCTTTTGGGGGCAGAGCTGTGGAGCTGGGGAAGGAGGAGGAGGAGGGCAAGGGCAGGAGAGCAGGAAGGATGGAAAGATGGAGGGAAGGCAGACGGGGGGGGAGGAAGAGGAGGCAGGCAGGGGGGCTTTACCTGCGACAGGCGTCCGACCTCCAGGTAGAAGCAGATGATGAAGGCGTTCCAGCCGACCCACAGCACCAGCCACACCGCGTACTGCCGAGAAGAGAGCCGGTCAGGGCACGCCATGCCGAACGGACATCCCCCGGTCCATCCCCCCTCCGTCCCGCTCGCTCGATCCCACTGGATCCACAGGGATTTGGGTTTGGATACAGGAGGGGAATTGGGGCTGAGCCATCCCTGGGGGGGACGATGCTGCACCCAGGTGCGGGGAGTGGCATCCGCAGCGGTACCTACCATCATGAGGTATTTGGATCTGTACTGGATGGTCCCAAAAATACCCAAAATAACGGCCATGATGTGTAAAAAATTAGCCAGGATGGGTGCCCACTGGTAGCCCAGGAAATCAAAGATCTGCCTCTCCAGCGCCGCTACCTGCAGGAGAGCAAAGGAGGGGTTGCGGGTATTAAAGCAGGGCATCGGTCACCACAGCAGCTCCTGGGATGCTAAAGGCAAAGAGCAGCCGCTAATTAATGGGAAATCCCATGGATAATTAATTGGAATAGGCTGAAACGTCTGCGTGATGCATCGGCTGGCGGTGGGCGAATGCATGGCGGCGAGCGAGGGGTTATTAGGAATAACTGGAGCTGAGAAGGGGGAGCAGGGAGATGTCAGCTTGTTGCCCTGCCAGCAGCCTCTGTGCCTCAGTTTCCCCATCACTCAGGTCTCGGGCAATGCTGAAAATCACCCTCCAAGCTGGGTTTATCCCTGAGCTCAGCTTATCCAGGGAAAACCTCCTGCTCAGGTCATGCACGGGGTCCCCCAGTATTTTGCAAGTGATTTTTCTGCCCCTTCTCACCAGCTCATCACCTGCCCTCCCTTATTTAACGCCACTCAGTTTTGATTGCCATTATCTTTTGTAATCCGTAAAGAAGGACGTGATGCAGCTTAATAAATCGCACAGCACGCAAAATCAGAGGTGGTAGCTGGTGCGATCTGCCTGTTACCCCAGCGCTTATTTATGGCTCTATTTGCTACCAGCTCAGGGTCTATTACTCTTAATTACAGGATTAGCTTAAAGAAAAGTGGTAGCAAAGGTGAGGTGGGAGCGCTGGAGCATTTGCCAATGGTTTTAAGTTAAAAAATGGAGATTTGATGAGGCTATGGTTTTATAGGGAACTTTTAGGGAACTTTTAGGGAGCCTTGGGGTGCCTCAGGTGCCGCAGGCCCCAAGGGCGCAGGGACAGGGCTGCAGCGACGTGTCTCCAGCAGCCTTGCAAACCAAAAAACCTCTTTACATTTATCTTTTTGACAGCCCAGCCCTGTCTCGTCGTTCTTTGAGATGCCCCAGATTCACCCGATAAACCCTGCAAGCTCCAGGGCCCTGAGTCCTCCCCGCGGCACCGTGCCTCAGTTCCGCCCCCCCACCCCCCCCCAGTGCAACGATTCTCATCCTGGCAGAGAAGTGGGAGTTTATCCTGAAAAGTGCAGGAGAAAATGGGCTTTACACCCCCCGCTCCGTTCACCGGCAGCTCCCCAGTGATCTGGATTTAGGGGAGCTGTGTCCTGGCGCTCCCTGAAGCTCCGACGGGGGTTGTGGCCGCAGGGCTGCCCCAGGGCCCCGCAGCAGCCCTGCCCATCCAGCCCAACTTAATGCGTCCTAATTACAGGGTAGAAAGAAATCAGGTGGCAAAAGTCCTTCCCTAAGCGTTTCGTGAGGATGAGGCATGGCTAATGCATCCGTGTGTGCAACCCAGAGCCGTGCCTCAGTTTCCCCATCCGTAAAGCATCACGCACTCATTGAATTGGCTTAGCAAGGGCTCTAATTAATGCTTATTTTAGCCCAGCTCCATCCTGCCAGTGGGAGCAAAGCCAAAGGCAGAGCCAAGGACCGTGATATCCCATCCCCTACCCTACGCCACGGACAGGATCTGCTGGACCCGTGCCGGCAGGACCCTGGCTTCAATTAAAGGCGATGCAAAGCCACGGAGCAGCCGAGCCTGGGCAGCCCCTGGATCTGCAGGGCCGGGACCAAGGCTGTTTGCACTGAGGCTTAATTCACTTCCACGCTATTTAAACTCTCCGAGGAAACAGCCTTTGGAAATACTTACAACTGGGCCGTAAATCTTTTAAATTGAGGAATGTAAATAATAAATGATACAAGGAGAGTGGTGCTCGGGGTTTTATAGCCATCCATCGATCTGGTGGCTGTTGACAGAGCTGCTTAGCAGGAGCTAGATGCGAAGGCTGCAAGTTTTGGGTACTGGTGAGTCTCTGAGTCAAGGGACGGGGTTGGGAAGAGCCTCTGAAAGCATCCCATCGAGCTGGAGCGATGGGCTTACACCCGTGCGGCTCCTTAATTCCAGTCCCTCAAGCCAGGACAGGCTGAAGGAGAAGGAGCTGGGAAAAGCCTGGTTGAACCGAATCCTTCTTCATCCCAAGGAGAGGCAAAATTAGCGGCAAACACCACAGTCTCCCACGGATGAGCGAGGGCTGCTAATTGCACCAAAAAGCTTTGCTGGAGCCACCCTGGCAGGTAAAATGCTGCCTCCTGTGCGCCGTTATTCGAGCTTATTCCCTCCACATGAAAAGAAAATATTTTTTTTCAGCCTCGTCGGATCCTGCTTAAGGTTAAGGAAAATACGGAGACACAGCACAAACGCGGCGAGTCTGCGGCTGCAGCTCCCCCAGCACTCGCCGCCTGCAAAGCGCCAAGGGCATCCCAAGGGCAGCTCAGCAGCCTTACACCCAGTTTCACAAGTGGGGAAACTGAGGCACGGCCACGCTCCAGGGGGAGTGGGTGGCACAGGTTTGGCAATCCTCGCACGGGGCATGGCGGGGCTGAGCAAGCACCGTCCGGCTCAGCCCGATGCTCCTGGCTTGCTCCAAGCGCTTCTCGCCGCTCGCTCGCTGTGGACCCCAGGCTGGTCCAGCACCCAGAGCATCCTCACCTGATCCTTTGGGGGTGAGATGTCCCCCGGCAGCAAACTTCAAGACAGCCTGGCTTTTCATGCAGCCACAGCCAGCTGTTCTCAATGGTGGCCCTAAATGAAGCGAGCGAGCCTGGCCGCAGGGCTCGGCGCTGCCTGCAAGCACGGCAAGGGGCTCTGCAAGCTCTGGGCGCGCTCTCCAAGAAGCCTCCAAGCAACGTGGGGACCGGCAGCATCCAGCCCCCCCCCAAACCAGGTGACCTGTGGAGCTCAGAGCATCGTCCCCAGCCTGTCCTCCTCCTGTCAGGGGTATTTCCCATGCTAATAGCAGCCCCGTTAATGATCCACCCTCATTAACACCCTCCTCTCCCCTCTCAGCTCTTACTGCTGCTCCGCCATCAAAGCCGTGATGCTCCTGGGGTGAGGGGCCAGAACCGCACACCATCCCGCTGCTAATTAAGATAAACCTTGCAGCCGATCAATGCAACAAGTTTTAGGGCTCCCTCTTAATTAAACACTCTCTAGTTTATCGATCGGCCCCAAAAGTTCCCTTTGCAGCAAATCATATCAATTAGTCGGGGGCAGGCGCGCGCCAGAGTCCTGCTAATTGAAACGTGTTCCCTGCAATGATTTTATTTTAATCACGAAATCGAAGCAGGCGAGACGCGGGGCCGGGCTCCATCAGCGCGTGGCCGTCCCCGGGGAGGACCGCGGCAGGAGGGGACGCCTGTGCAGCCCCTTGGGGACAGGGAGCCACCGGGGCTCGGCCCAGGGCCTCTGGGCCCGCAGAACCGGTGAGGCAGAGCTGGAGAAAAATGGGAATTTTTTAGGGGTGCTGGCAGCAAATTCAAGTGGGAAGGAGCTCGCCTGTCCCCAAATCACCCTTTGGTTATGACACCTTCACCTTCCTTGGACCCATCCCGTTACCGGTGCGGTTTTCCCAGTCCTTTTTAATCCCCATGACAAGGACGGGAGAGATGAAAGCCGCTGCGGCTGTGCCAGGAGGATGGCACAGACAGCAGGGAGCACCTTCCCCCACCTCCCATCCCCACCCGATTTGATATTTTGAGGTTGGAAATCCCTCCTGCGACGAAGCTGGGCAGCGTTGGGCCCCGGGAGGAGCATCCCCAACCCACCACCCTGCAGTGCTAAAGCAGAAACCTTTTTGCCCAACAGCTGCCGTTTTTGCTCTCTTGGAATCAGAGAATCACAGGATGGGTTTGGCTGGAGGGACCTTCAGAGATCCATCTCGTCCAACGCCCCTGCCATGGGTAGGGACATCTTCCACTAGGTCAGGTTGCTCAAAACCCCATCCAACCTGACCTTGAACACTTCCAATATAGAATCACAGGACGGTTTGGGTTGGAAGGGACCTTCAAAGATCATCCAATCCACACCCCCCTGCCATGACATCTTTTGAGCATCTTTCAGGTTGCTCAAAGCCCCATCCAACCTGACCTTGAACACTTCCAGGGATGGAGCGTCTACAGGTTCTCTGGGCAACCTGTTCCAGTGCCTCACCACCCTCACCGTACAACATTGCTTCCTTATGTCCAATCTAACCCTACCCTCTTTTGTTGCCCCTTGTCTTGTCACTCCAGGCCCTGGTAAAAAGCCTGTCTCCATCTCTCTTCTAAGCCCCCTTTAAGTATTGAAACTATTGTGTGAGACCACGCCATAAGGTCTCCCCGCAGCCTTCTCTTTTCCAGGCTGAACAACCCCAACTCTCTCAGCCTTTCTCCATAAGAGACATGTTCCAACCCTCAGACCATTTCTGTGGCCTGCTCTGGCCCCGCTCCAACAGCTCCATGTCCTTCCCGTGCTGAGGACCCCCGAGCTGGACGCAGGGCTCCAGGGGGGTCTCCCCAGAGCGGAGCAGAGGGGCAGAATCCCCCCCCTCGCCCTGCTGCCCACGCTGCGGGGGATGCAGCCCAGGAGACACTTGGCTTTCTGGGCTGCAAGCGCACATTGCCAGCTCGTGGCCAACTTTTCATCCACCAGTACCCCAAAGTCCTTCTTGGCAGGGCTGTTCTCAATCCCATTCTTCCCCCAGTCTGTACTGGTACTGGGGATTGCCTTGTCCCAGGTGCAGGACCTTGCACTTGGCCTGGTTGATCTTCAGCCCACTCCTCCAGCCTGTCCAGGTCCCTCTGGATGGCATCCCCTCCCTCCAGCCCATCCGCTGCCCCACTCAGCTTGGTGTCATCTGCAGACTTGCTGAGGGTGGACTCGATCCCACCATCTATGTCACTGATGAAGACATTAAATAGTACTGGTCCCAGTATGGACCTTTAAGGGACACCACTCATTACCCGTCTCCACCTGGACACTGAGCCATTGACTGCAACTCTTTGGATGCTCCCATCCAGCAAATTCCTTATCCTTCTAATGGTCCCATCAAAGTCACATCTTTCCAGTTTAGAGACACGGATGTTGGAGGGGGAACCTTGTATTGCATCCCACCCTCTATTTCTGAGATAAAACCAACCCTGCCCCGCGTGGTGA